AGCACAACCAGCACAAGGGGCAGCTCTAGCTGCTGCTCACAGTGCAGTGGCACTACACATGAGCAGGTGAATTCTTTGATAAATGGGACAAATGGGAAAACTACACTGATCCGATTAGAAGTTTACCTACTTGTGCTTCTGTCTTCTATGCAGTTAGCAGTCAGAGAAATGTAAGTGCCTATTGAAGTCTCAGCTGGATCCGACTACATTCACTTCCCTCTCAATCAAGTGTTAGTTACAACTATATTCTTCAGAGAGGAAGTGCTGATGTGTTAATACAAGAGTCCAAGGACAGTTTGTCTGTGGAAACCAGAATGTGATGTTACCAAAAACATTAAATATGGAGGAACAAAGCTCAGAATCCCTGCTTCAAAAATAAGTTAACTAAAGCCAACAGAACAAGCCAGAACGTCATTTGAAGGTGGTACACTTTTAATCTTTTGTATTGAGAGGAATCGAACTGCTGCTGAAAGCTACTTAATATCCCCATGTGATCAACGTACAAGTAAGAAGACCTTTTTACTCAGGAGATAAGTGGAAATACGGAGTTTTGGGTGGAAATGTCATCTCTGGCTTAGTTTTGTTAGTACACTGCTACAGTTACACAGGGAGATCCAAGCAGACTGAGCTCAGAGCTTCTTCCCTGGGAGCTGGTGGTCTGAAGTCACAACGACTGCTGTTAACCGTGGCTGTTCCAAGCAGGGTTCATTCCCACCTCTGGGAAATACACTGTGCTGTCACAAGCTGCCTGTCTGCTACGCCCTTCCTGGCACTTCCAGAAGTTTTACCGTAACTTTGTGCATCACAGGAAAAGTTACAGGAAAACAAGGCCACTTTAACCTGGATTAGCACATACCCTGCCAACTTCAAAGGCTCTATGCCTGCTTCACACTGCTGTCACTTCTGATTCCTCGCCTCTACCTGTTCTGTGTCTTGAAGGTGTGTCTGCCTGCTTGACTGTTTTATCTACACAGTCTATGAGGAATATCAGCAAGGGGAAAACAAGCCTCTAAGAATCTCACTTATTTGTCTTGTAATGCCAAACCCACACAAGTGGAGGGGGTTGATCAGACGGATCCAGTACGCTTTCAAACAGCCACGAAGAGTTTAATACACAAGAAACTCCCAACAGTGTGTCAGGTCCTTCAACTTACATGACTGAGATTTATAAATAGGGCATAAATTAAATACCAGGCTAAGCTCCTGTTTCCATGCCAAAACCCACTGCCACATCCACACAGCATTATTTCATTACAGAACACTGGAGCAGAGGTTTTCAATCAGCTGTGTACCCACTCAGAAATGCAAACAGGATCCATTTTCCTGAGCGCCAAAGTGACCACAGCTGAATAAAATCTCTTCACTCCCAACTTCTGGAAAAGTTTGTGAACACAGCCCAGAGCCACCCAGGCTCACACTTTGGGTTTTGTACAACAAATGTATCACTAGAGGCTTCCCTTACACATGAGTTCATCTATAGAAGTTGCAGAGACTTGCAATTATGTACTTTTTAATAACAAAAAATGAAAAGCTAAGTCTAAACTTTAAAGCTCATGGTGTGTGGGGAAAAAAAAAAAAAAAGCAATATAAAACCATTTCTTTTGCAGTTACGTTAAAAATAGCTCAGCTGCCATGAATAATAAATGCAATTCAAGAATAATAAAGTGCCAGTCTCACCCCATCTCTGCCTGGGCGTCAGCTTCTTTTCTCTCCCGTCCTTTCTTCAGCTGCCTTAGATTCTCTCCACGTTGTGATTTATTTCTCCCTTCCTCTTTCTTTCTCTGTCTCTCTCCGGATCCGGATGCTCTTTAAATTTCCTCCGGAATTTCACTTTGAAATCTGCTAGCTTTGCGGTCGGTTTCCAACGCCCGGCAACCGCCGGCCGCGCGGAGCAGCGAGGGCAGGGGCGGCCCGGAGCCCCCCGACCTGCGGGAGCCCAAACCCAGCGGCGGCCCCGGGCGCTCCGCGGGGATGTCGGCCGCTGCCCCGGCCGCTGCGCTCCCCAGCAGCTCCCCCTGCGTTCTGGCTCCCGGGCTCCCTCCTTCCCTTCAGCATGGGAGGGGAGCAGCAGGATTAGGTGGTGCTTTTGCAAGCGCTTTCAGACAAAGCCGTCTGCTCGCTGCTGCTCCGGCAGCCCCGCAAGTTTCTCCCCGCAGCCCAAAAGCCCAGCCACCGCTGCCGCTCGTCCTCCAGGATCGCGATTTCTTTGTTCTCTCCCGTGTTGTAGTTTTTCGGTTTTTTTTTTTTTTCTTTCTTTCTCTCTGCTATTCGCTTCCTCCCTTCACCAACTGCCCCATCTCGGTCACATTTCTCCGCTCCTTCTCTCGACTTTATTCCAGGGGCCGGCGCCGGCTCGGCGGCACCACCTGCCGGGCACAGCGAGCAGAGCTGGGCGCTGCCGAGCAACGCGGGCACAGCGGGCACAGCTGAGTGCCACAGCCGGGCACAGCCCAGGGGCACAGCTGGGCACCACAGGCCGAACGCTGCTGGATCACGGTTACTGAAGGGGCTCTGGCTACCCACAGGGAAAAGAAAAACAACAACAGCCCCCTCTGCCCCCAACCTCCCCCCCCCCCCCAAAAAAAAAAAAACAACCAAAAAGCAAACAAAAATCCCCTGCAATCTTAGTCTAGATATATTCTATCACATACAGGTCGCTCCTTGTTCTGTCTTTCGTGATGCAGTTCATACAAGCAGAAAGTTAACACATGGCACGAATACTCTCAGGAAATAGTGGAACACCCCTGGAAGAAGGGATGCTGGGCAGGCTTGGGGAAGGAGCCTCGGTAGAGAGCAGGCAATGCCAGAGTGCTGCTGCAGCCCAAGGAGCCGACACAGCCCTCGGCTGAGGTACCCAGGGGCAGAGAGGTGCCCAGCTCACTGAACAACGGCAGAGGGCTCACAGCAAAGCCATGCGAATGAACTGCTCCATTTTGAAAGAATCAAAGTGCTGCAATCCATTCATCAAAGAAAAGCATACAGCGTGACTCTAACGCAGCCATAAAAGCTCCCCGGCAGAAATAAACTTTGAACAAGTGCTTTCCAGTTGAGCCAGCACAGGTACAGCACGGCCTGAGGGCTGGGAGCAGGAGCTGAACAGGTCAGCCTGGGGAAAAGCAGCATTTCCAACCACAAGGGCAGACACAGCAGCGATCCGGCCTGCTGAAAGCAGCAGAAGGCCCATCCAGGAATGGATATTTCACACCTGCTCTTTTGTAGCCTCTATCCAACAGCTCAGAGTAGAGATTCTGCACACAGCAGCTGTTCTGTAGGCAGGGCCCAAAGTGCACCCAGCCCGGCGTTCCCACATGTAAGACAAACAGGATGGAGGCCTGCTTGTGAGCACTGCGTATTTTGTCACTTGTGACAGAGATCAGAGTGGAGTGGTATCAACTGCAGTGGGCAGGGTGAATCGGTTCTACTGCCTGCAGTTATTCTCAGCTTTAAGTAAATTAACTGTGTAAGTAAAGTAACTCTTAAGTAAAGTAACTGTGAGGCCGTGGATGAGTGCATGAGCACACACGCAGTTTTACAGGTTTTTAGAGCAGGTCCAGTAATGAACCTGAAGTGTGGCTTTGGCACAACAGCATTCCTGCATTTCCTCCAGCATTCCACTCAGATCCTCACTGAACACCACTGCTCAGCTCCCACAAATGCCTGCATCACCTTAAAACATCCCACTATTCTAACAAAGCCTCTCATAAGCAGACAGCGCTGCTGAGTGACGCTGCTGGATCATCCCCACCTCATTTATGCTCTTTACTTATCAGGGCACTTTAATGGGAAATGTTCCCAAGAGAGATTTTGTTAATCCCATGCAGTTCTGCGCATTAATTTCTCCATGCATTAACCATTTTAGAACTTGCACCAAAGTAGTAAGCTTTGTACGAGTAATTTTGCAATAAAAGGTGGGAGCAGTGCTGTAACTCAATATTAACGGCACAAACATGAGCGATATCAACACTTCATGCTCTGCTTTCAGCATTTCAACTCCACTCTTTTCCCTAAGGCATTTAAAAGGGAGGCTTACTGAGGCAGGAGTAATTCTTTGTCTCCCGTGTCTTTGCTATTGCTCACATTTGGGGCTACAGTTTGCTGCCAAAAATTTTAAGCATAACATCAGATGAAGTCCGAGCTCTGCTTGAAACGATGGCAGCAGCTACGAGCACAGACTGCTGGAACCAGGAGAGCTGAGCTGTGCTGGGGGCTGTGGGGAAGGAATGTTTGCCCAGTGCTCTGCTGTGCTCAGATGGGTGAGGGCAGGACGTGAGTTGGAGCAGCTGCAGATGCTTTGAGCTGGCAATGGAACCAGCAGCTCCAGCTCTGCCCCGGCAGTACTGAGCACCAGCAATGCTCCTGCTTCCTGTTCTCTGCCCTTCCTATGCGCAACATGGGAACCAACGACACAAGGACTAGAAGTGCACTGAGGATACTAATGAAAGTAGGGCACAGTATCTTTCATATCGACCTGTTAACGGCAACTTATCTGCAACTCCTTGAAGCTAATTATTTTACACGTTTAAATTGGGGTAATTAGATCAGCAGGAATTGAACTAAAACCAAACGCTGGTAGCCTTGTGAGGATTTTCTGAAATGGGGTTCTGTATTCCATCTGCATCTCCTTCCACTGAGGGCAACGACTGAGTTCCCAGAGGGAAGCATGGAAATTTCGATCACTTCCTACATTATCACACATCACGTCCCATCTGCATCGTTAATTGCCATAAAATGCAGGCAGGGAGAAGGAATACTGGTAACAGAACCCTGCAAGGAAGTCGCTTCCCTTTCAAACTCTGAGACACTTCAGAGCCCCTCAGATCCAGTTTCTGCTCTGCGCTGGTAGTTACTGACAGGCAGCACAGCTCACCAGCAGAACAGTCTTTAATTTTCAGATGTCCATTTCAGAGTTCTTGTCCACGCTCTGAGTGAGGCAGCACAGCCTTCTCTTCAGGAATCCAAAGGCAGAGAATCCGTGTTATTTTCCAAACAAGAAAATGTAAGAGAACTTTTATTTGAAAAAATGAAAAAGACTTTCAGAAAAAAAGTGCTCAACTTTTCAATGCAACTTGCAATTCAACTTTCAGCTCCTTTAACAAAAGGAGCTGCACAGCTGGAGTTCTGACCAAACCTCAGCAATAAATCCCCAACAATTTAGCCAGTATTTACGTCAGTTCACGACTCTTCTGCACAAAAAAGATGCATCACAGTATCACTAAAAGCACATTAGAAAAATAAATGTATGGGAAGTTTTAAAAACAGTTAAATAAAGAGAAAAGAGAGGAAAATAGAGAAAGATGTGAAGACAACTCAGGGACTTCTAACAAAGCATTGGATCTGACACCAATACTATGGTCAGTGACAAGTAATCTAACCTGATGAAAAATGAGGCTAGTAGCAACCTCTCGGGACATTGGGAGACTTAATTAGTTGCTATTCGTAGATTAAACACAAAGTCTGAAGGTGAAAGGCACTAAATGCTAAGTATTATTAGCTTCTGAAGTATTAACTTCTGTAATTGGGCGACTCCAACAATACAAAAAAGTGGATCAGTGTCAATTTTTGATTAAAAAAAAAATTTTTTTCTTATGGTTCTAATGTGTCAAAAAGGCATTTTGCTTTTAAAAGTACCAGCTGCTAACACGACTGTGCGACGCGCAATGCTGCTTGTCACCTTCAGTTCTGAGCTTCTGACTCCTACCCAAATTGACATTCCACATTCCTTAGCAGGAAACCTCATCTGAAGCAAGCAGCTCCACGAGCTGCACACACTGCACTGCGCTGCACTCCTTGAGGAAAACTCACAAGCATTTATTCATTAAGACAAGGCACGTCTGCTTGTACTGCTGAGCTCTCTCTTACAGCCCCTGATCTTTCTGTGGTCAGTTCTGGATTTTCCAAGTCTGCACTGGTGTCTTTGGAGCTGGTCTCTCCGATCCTCCAAGGCAGAGATATATGGCCCTTGTAGAAATTCCAAATGAACAAGAAAAAGAAAAGAAGAGCAAAACCTGCACCCAGGAGTTTTAAAACAAGATTCTCCTTTTGGCTGCCCACAAATTTCTGTTTTGGTGCGTCTTTCAGTAAATAAGTTGATACTGAGGACTGAAATCCCACAGCTTCTCCTTCGTTATTGCCATCTGTTGCAGCATTAACATTTGCCTTCTCTGTACTCTGCTGTGCATAAAGGGCATAACGGGCCACAGTGATAAAGAATTCCTTTGCTCTGGATGTCTCTACTGAGAGGCAATCATAGAATCCAGTCTCAGCCGCTGTCGCATTAAGTATTGCTATGCCTCCATCATACAGGAGGTATTTAGAGTCCTTATCCCGAATTCGGCTCCCGTTGAACTTCCACACTACTCTTGCCAGATTTGAAAGAGGAACACATTTAAGATGAACATTGTTTCCAAGAGTAAAGAGGTGTTTTCTCACATCATTCTCTGCAATTATGAAGATAATGTATTAAGTAAGAACACCGAAGATTTAGCTGAACGTACAAAAGCAGATGCACGCTCAGAACACATCACTGAACCTGCCAGTCTGAAAACAGGTAATGGACACATAAGCAAAGACAAAGAAATCCCATGACTAAGAGGTCCAACACAGGGGCAGGGTGCCTCTGCTGGCCTTACTCCTGCTGAGGTGTAACCAAAAGATACAGGACCACAAGTTTTAATCTGCTTTTGGCTCACCTTCAAATGTGGGCACACATAAACAGATCAATCTTTGTATGTCTCAGTTCTTCTATTTGTTAATAACACAGCTTCACGGATCTGTCCGTGTAGATCTGTGAAATGTTCATATTAGGTATTTTAAAGTTTCTCAATTGGCCCAATGAGTGCCCCAGTGTCATTTGTGGTGTACTCTCAAACAGACAAGACTACAGACAACAGACTTTAAAAAGACATAAGGGGAGGTAAGAGAGAGATTTTGTGACACTGACAGAAGCCATGCACCTTGCAACTCATTGCAAAGTCAATGAATAACAACACACACACGTGAAATTCCACATTTAAAAGAATACCAATTTCACTAAAAATAAGTATTTTCAATGGCTGATAACAAATCATCTTCTTTTTAAGCGTACTTTTGAATAGCTTTTGTGATCTGCCTGCAGAACAGCATCCTAAAAGCAGTGACAGATTTAATAGGACAGCTAATGCATCATGTGATTTCTGCAGTGCACGTGGGAGGGAAACGAACACACACACACAACACACACACACACACACACACACACCCCTGCTTCCTGAGTTTCAGCCTGACTGAAAGGGTTAAGATCATTAGGTAGTAATAATTGTGGGGTTTTTTCCCTATCTTTATTATTCATGAAGAGTAACAATGAGTATGATTGTAATTCTGTGGTTTTCTATAGTGTAAGGATCCCAGTGACCACATGCTGAACAAACATTTCGGTTGCATGATGCTAGAAGACTCATTTTTCAAATAAAAGCTCACATACCTGCACTAAGGCAGCCGGAAGCATCCCCATATTTCACATTTTGAATTAAATTCCTGGGAAAACAAAAACATCAACAAAACTGTAACAACCAGAGAGATGTTCCACCATTTCTAGGAACCACCCCAGTTTTGTGTTGCAGGCAGTAGGAGCGCAGTTATAAAGCAATCTGGCAGACCTGGATGACCTGCCTGGATGCCTACCTGTGCGACCTGGTGTAGGGAACCTGCTTTGGCAGGGGGGTTGGACTCGATGATCTCTGGAGGTCCCTTCCAACCCCCACAGTTCTGTGATTCTGTGACTTACTGTGTATCAGCAGGCTGATGTGGCAGCAGAACACACGCACGGGCAGCCTGAGACCAGGCGCAGTACGGGTCCCTGGCCAGGACGCAATCCAAGCAGTGCTTGTAGCGCTGGCAGCCCGAAACTGGAAGCTGCAGCACTGCAGACAGGGACCCCACATAGAGCATCCCCTAGAAACACAGGAGGAGGTTTCGTTTCATCATGGTGAATGAGATTTTAGATTGCTATTTTCTAATGTGATTATTTCCTAGTACTTGTTAAAAAAAACACAGTAAACTAAAATCCTTGAAGGAATGGATGCTGATATAAATGAGAAAAGACAGCTCTGTGTAACATGTAAAACAACAGAGTTCCTTCCCTATTTCTCTTAATGACCATAAGGCTTGCAATAAATAACATTCTTACACTAACATGCTCTTTTTCTATAGATAAAAACATGTATTCTGTTTCTGTTATTAGCTAATATGTGATGGAAACAGAATTGTGAGGTATTTACAGGCTACCTAAGGTCAGAAGAACAGTAGAGAAGAGCCAGGCCTGAGGCAAGTCATTACAGCAATCACTTCCCATACACAGGGACAGCAGCTCTACCTTTTTAGCAGACAGCTGCAGGAACTGCACAGGCTCAGGGGACAGAAACAGCTGCAGCTCTTCCACAATGAACATTTCTCCATCGCAATTGAGAGCTTTATGCAAATATCCATCATCTACATAAAAATAAATGCATTTTTATCTATGGACTTGTTTAAACATTGCATAACATTTTAGCCTGATAATTCACATTCAAATTAGGTGAGATGGAGCAGACATTCCTGGGCATAAGGAATTTATGAAATTCTTCAAAGCAATGTTTATTTTTTCTTTTAATAATCATTTTTTTTCCCCCCCAGAGAAAAAAGACCTCAAACAATCCCTGAATTTGCAAATATCGTTCTGTGAAGTCTCCTTTGATATGGAAAGTTTCTAAAGAGAACCTTTTAATGTCCAACAAGCCAAAACCATTTAATCTAACTGGTATGAAAATATTCAACCAGCAAGACAGCTCCTGAATGCAAAACTTCAAACAAAGCTAATGAATTCTGTTATTTTTTTGAAGCGCAAAAGAAAATCTGTCACAAAATACAGAAAGATGAATAATATCTTCTAAAATTAAAACCCTCACCTGTTCCTAGAAACATAACATCGTAGGTCTGCTTATCCAGGCCAGTAACTCTGTCTACCACAATCCTGGTGTAGTTTGAGCTCCTCTTCAGCAGTGCTGGCCTACCACCGACCGGATTTACAGCGCCATCCATCAGAGGGTGATCTCTAGCAAACTGCAGGACTTTGTCAGGCAGGTCAGAAGATGTATTATACCCCAGATTCCGGGCAAAATTATCAATACACTGGAAACAAAACATGTTACAACTGATTACAATTGCTTTTACATCTCAGCAAGGTATGTGAAAAACACTGAATTTTCTTCTAAATCCTGGTATTTCCATTTAGCTCCAAGCATGAACAGTCATGATTTCCTCAAACAAACCAGTCAATAACCCCACAGCTCCTGCAGAACAGAACTGCAGGGCAGCTGTCCTGAGAGAGGCCTGTGACAGAGCGAGCAGCTCTCTGCTGATCAGAAACACAGCATTTATATTGGTAAAACAGGCATTCATGCTTTGCTACCAAAAAAAAAAGATGAGAGCAACTATTGTTTAATTAGAACAAGGAAAATTGTATTTACAGCACCAGGACGTGGAACTGGCACCTCTCCTCTAAAGGCCATCCATCTAACGTGGGAATGCTCCACAGCTATGGGGCCCCTGTAGCTTCCTTTGGAGAAGGCTTCCTGAATGCCTGCCATGCTGTACGCACACACAGCTGATACATCCAACCTGCCCCTGAGAAGAAAGAAACAGAACTCCTGCAAAATAAAAGCAGGTTTTCTATGGGAAGAAACACTACAAAATAACCAGATTGAAAGAACAAACGTATATAGAAAGAAGTAAAGTAACCCAGTCTCCACAATGCACACATGTGAAAGTAAAAAAATACCTATTTCTATGTTGCAGTTTTCATGATTCCCGGAAGGAATAAAACAAAGACATTCACAAAATACTGTATTAAATAGGTTTCTGTTAAAAATCATATAACCACCCTCCAATAAATTGGAATAGGTAACAAAACGAGCACCTTTTAGACAAATTCTGTGTCTCTTTACCACACCCAAAGGAATAAATGCTGTGACAGAGAACAGAACCTGCCAGCAGGAATAAGCTAACAGGTGAACAGGTGGCAGCAGGTTAAGCCATGCAGTGCTGATGAACTGCATTCTGAGCATCCTCATGCTTTGACAAACCATGCAAGTTACTCATGGCTACTTTGGTATTTTTTGACAGGCAAAGTTGGAGACACTCTGTCTTACTCAGAGCAGTAAGAAAAAGTCAGCAAATCGTAGAACATGAAAGCAGTCTGGAGTTCTGGCCTTGTTTTCACAGAACATCACACATACAAGCAGGCCATGACAAATGCTGCTTTTGGAACATTAGAATAACTCTGCACCCTGAAATGTCAGGTATTTCCTGCACTGCAGCAGACACCAGAACCCAGGGCTTTGTGTAATTAATTATGCAATTTTGAACATAATTACTCCACTATCTGAGTGGAGAAAACATAACTCTCGAGATCTGACTTAGTAACAGCTTTGGATTAGTGCTCAGTTGATGGTCTTGGAACCAATCCCATATTGTTTCAGAAGGTGACAGTGTTTGCTCAGTCTGATCGTGCTGTAAGAAAAACAAACACGGGCCAATTAAACAGCAGAGTAAGCAGCTGAGAGCTCCTTGTTCTGAGTGAACACCACGAGGCCCAGGCCGTTAAAACTGAAGCAGAGCCCTTATTCAGCTCATCACACGCTCAGCAGCACACGAAGCCTTCTATCTCACCACTGCTGGGAAAAAATTCCGTAAAAGATGCTGTCCTGCCACTTCTCTCTCCTAAGGAAAAAGATGTCCTGAATGATATTGAAATGGAAGTCGAGTTCTGGAATGGAGCAGGAAAGTCGGGCTTTTAAAAACGAAGTCCATCTTCTCTGCAGTAAGCGCTTCCCACCAAGGTCACCCTAAATAAAAGAACACCATCAACACTGTGGAACATATAAAATGTAGATTATCATCTGATAATATTGCTGTAGTAAAAAAAATATAGCTGTCCTTTCAATACAAATCTCAGTTCTAAGGCCTAGAAAAAAGGTTTAAATGTCAAATGCAAGCTGAGCAGCTGGCTCTGTTCTAGCATGAAAGAAAAGAGGGAGAAAATTCAGGAGTAAAACATACCAAATTTTGTTTGGCTAAACCAACATTAAACGCTCAACTACAAAACTTCATCTGAAATACTGTAAACAAAATCTTTATATTTCAAACACTAACTTTGCAGATTCGGGCAATTCTCGACACCAGAATCTTGTCATAGAATTCAAACTCAACAGCTGTTTCAGTGAAGAACACATAAATTTTATCATCATCTCCATCTGGACTAAACTCACTTTCAGGTACTATTTCCATGCCAACAAAGCTTGGTTCTGAAATGCATAAATACAAAAAGCAATTTAAGTTAGCACTAAGAAAACTCACAAACAGCAGATATTGATTTAACAGTAAGTCTAATTAAAGTTAAGAGCTGAAAAGTATTTACGAATATGAAAAATTAAAAGAAGGAATTGCGTTTTAAATGGAGAGAGGCAGAGGCTTGCCTCATCACTGCAGATCTCAGGCACAGTGCTTTGAATTCCCATTTCAGGCCACTGCCAACCCAACATAACACACTGTTACATTCTAGAGATGGTTCACACACCAACAGATGCTCTCTTGAGCCTGAAGTATGCATAAAGCTTCTTACCATTTAGCCAAGACGTTTTAAATTCTGTTCTTACAGGATTTTGCATGCTGCGAAGTATTATAGGTTCTGTTCCCAAGAAATTATTTGAAGTAGCTGAGTAAAATGCCCCATCTGTAAAGGTTTGGAGAAAACTAAAAGCATCAAGTACTTTATTTTAAAATACAAAGGCAAATCTTAAGGAACAAATGGGTTGATATTCAAAAGCAGAATGAAGATAACAAAAAGTCTTCAAGGCTGTACATCAGTGAAAACACACCTACAAAAACAGCTGCATATTTCAGAGTTGGCTCAAAAGGACACTTCCCTCTGCTCTCTTCAGCTCTTCCTTGCAAATGCATCTTTGTCCTCTGGATAACCTAAGGCAAGCAATCACTTTGATAGGATGAAGAAAACATCCTTTCAGTGTATTAACATTGGCAAATTGGCAATGAATTAACAACTGGCAAATGCACTTAAAGGAAAACGATCACAGAAGTAAAGAAATGTGAATCTCGTGCAAAAAGAAACAGCATCTGGGCAAACGTTTTCTTGGTGTTTCACGTGTTTATGAGAGAACCAGGAGAGTTTCGAATTTTCAACTGAAACATTCTTAGAAAGGTGTTTAAGAATCTGCCACAACTTGAGCTCCGTCAAGTAAAACCCACATTCAAATCTAATTACCATGTGGTCACACAGCGGGTGATAGGCGTTTGTCCCACAGACATACAGGAGGGAATCATTGATCTTACGCAGGACGAGGATGTAGTTTTGGCACCTTATCTAAAACAATGAAACAAAACAAAAGAGAACACTCAAATCCTGTGATAGATTGCATGCAAAAACTTTCTTGTCTTAGCAGCACACAAGCAAACCCAACAGGTTTAAATGAACTTCATTTTAGGTCTTTACTAAAAAGAAACGTCAAACTGCAGCCATTTTGATTTTAGCTAATAAGCTGGGGGAGGAAACTAAGGTTTCACCCACCTTGTCCTTGCCTCTACGAATACATTCCAGTTGTCTTTCCTGTGTAGCAAACCAGTGTTCCTACAGAATGGACTTCTTAGTTGGTATGCTGCAAAACTTAGCTCAAAATTACGCGTAAAAAGAAAATCAAAGGAAACTTAACACTGAATAGACTGAGGTAAATAAGCACTTTTCTAGATACCTGTGTAAAGTGCAAGGTGCTGTAAAAAACAATCTGGATAGAGGTATAAAAGGGGCTTCAAAAATAAGAGTTAGCAATAAAGCTTCAGGATTTGAAATGTAAAATTATATATGTTAAAATCAGCATATTACATCCAAATAAATAAATCCACAGTCAAAGTTTTGCTTTGATTTGAAAAAAGGCTGAAAATAAAGGCAGGTCCTTCACTTACCCTGGCAGTTTCTCTGGAAACGTTATTCAAATCAAGGGCAGATATTACATCCCTGCCTCCAACAAACAGCCTATCAGTTTCTTCATCCACAAGGAGAGCGGAGACATTGGACAAGCCTTCTTTCACAAACATTGCTGCATTTAGAGCTATGAAACACAGACGTTATTTTAAAGCAAATTATCACTGGGAACTCAGTGTTATGTAGTAAGAATTTCAGGTTGAAAATAAATAATAACCAAGCAATGTGAAAGCTTATATGTACTTCCAAAAGAGTTTCTAAATAATCCAAAGTATTCAGATAAGCATATGTATATTCTTTCCCCAATTTAACACGGGAAGAATAAACAACACTATCATTATTACACTACATTTGGGTATTCCTGAGTCATTTACACGAATGCAAGTAAAACACTGGGGTGAGACGGTCAATAGCATCCCTTCCTGCCCCTAGTAAGAAATGAACCCCCAGTACTGTTTTATGTTTGTTTCTGCTCATCAAATGACTCCTTTTCACTTACTTTGGTATTTTACTGTTTTTCTGGGAATGCAGTTCCCAACAGATGCTTTTACCTCTTGCATTAATTGCAAAACAAGACAAAGGACAACAGCAGTGCCACCCATTTCCTGAGACTCAACGAGAAAAACGCTTTTCCCAGCTTTTACTCCTTGTTATAATCACAATTTCTTCATGGTTCTTGAAGACGTCCTGCTGACGACCTCCAAAGCAGGTATTTCCTGATAATCCTGGCAGTAAACCTTTAAAGTGCTCCAGCAAATCCCAAGCAAAACCAGTGCTAGGCAGCAGTCACCTGCAATTACAGAAAGCACAACGCCAGCTTCCACACCTCTTTTTGTAAAGCATCTGTGCTTTTTCCAAGTTCAACTGTGTGCAAATGGCAACACCTGAGGAAACCACTGATGTAAGCCAAATGAAGTAACTTCAGGAAATAAATGAAGTTAACAAATCACGTTGGAAACTTGAGAATGCTATTAAATAAATGTCTGCCACTGTATTGTAACCCAGGCTGTGACTGCCATGGACAGACACTGTCCACGCCTTGGCTGAGGCATTTTCTGGGCCAGCAGCACAGACCGTGGCATTTGAGAACCAATTTCTTCTGACCAGCATTGATCTCAGCCCCTAGGATGGCTGCTCAAAGCACCACGCATTCCCAGCCATCCCATCTCGCCTCTATTGCAGTGGACAAACCTCAATTCCAACCCTGGTTCCCACAGCAAATTCAGCTTCAACCCCTTCCCTCGGGGACCACATCCCGAGGGTGTGGCAGGGCAGTCGTGCCCCGTTAGCCTCCTCCAGCTACCCCTCAACCACACATCATCCCACCACACCCTACAGCCCCCTAAGAACGCGCCCAGCAGCCCGCACCGCAGCGCCCGAAGCCGGCTCCCCGCAACCCACGGACCCCAAGATGGCGGCCCCTCCCTCAGCCTCCCGCGCCCGTTGGCGCCCCGCGCTGCGCTCACGTGACGCTCCCCGCCTGCGGGCGGGAAGGCGGTGCCGCGTGAGGTGCGCTGTGTGGAAACCCGAAGAAATCCGAAGAAAATCATCATCGTCTGTCCTTAATTAAGCTTTTTCCCTTCCTGACACTGGTTTCTCGAGCAGTGTTGGGACCAAGATACTGATAGTCAGCAGGAGCGGTTGCGTTTCATTTCTGTGTCAAATGACACACAGAACAATTCATTGTTCTTTATCATTTCTATGATATAGTTTTATGCACTGCTTATGTGCAGGAGTAAGCTATGAGTTTGGAAAAGACATACAAATCAAATACGCGTGAAGCTGATTTGTGTCTTCTCAGTGACTGACAGATAAGCAGCGAAATAAAGCCTGGGCTGCTCTGTGTGGGGAGCACTGCAGATGAGCAGCGTGCAGAACCCCACCAGTACTTAACACACAGCGACTGACAGGGCATCAAACAAAGGCAGAGCTTTGGGTTCTCAGTCCTCTCTCCTTACAGATGGCTTTTCGTACTTCTGATTTCCTATCCACCAGCTCTGTCTCTAGAGGAGGTCTTGCAAACCTGTACAGACTGTTAACCCCAACAACAAACCAGGCTGTAAGGAAGTTCTGCCAAGCGGGCAGCTGTTAAAAATAAGATTTCCTTGCATTCCATTTGCTGCTTTTCTATTGTGTTGTTATCCAACGAAACCCAACCTGCCCCTCGGAGCACAGCCTTGCTAGGAGGCAATCTTCAAGAAAACGAGCACAACCTTCTAATGGCAGGAATGAGGCACAAGAAGCTCAGAGAACACACAGTGTGCCAGCACTTTCTTGACCAGCAGTAACTTCATTGCCCACAGACAACGCAAACATTTTCCATGCTTGCTGCGATTCAGCAAGTCACCTATGTGACAGAGTTGACAAAAACCATTTATCCCAGAAGTCCCCTGTTGCTCTTTGAGCATGTTCTCATCTAAGGAGTTCATTACTGCCCAGATCTACAGCCCGGTTGTGATCGGCCGCTCAGTTGTGAGATATGCAGAAAGAAGGATGCGACAGGACTTTGGAGAATTTATTTTTAATTAGAAAATATACCTGTTCGTAGCATAGAAAACAATCCAAACAAATAACATTTGAATTTCTGAATCCAGACTTTTCTTTTTTAGCATGACACATCGTGATGAACTTCAAAGCAAAATGGAATAGGAAAAAAGTACCGTACATCGATTCTGAGAAGTAACATCTCGGCACAGATGAAGCGTTCACGCTAAGGATGACGGAGTGTTGTCAAAAAACAAACAATAAATAGGAAAAACGTAACTGGTGTTACAAAGGAAAGCCTCAGAGACAAAACAAACAAAAAAACCCCCTCATATGATTTCAACACAATTACTCCAAATGGCGTATTAGCAACTACAGTTCTTCACTCTGTTAAAACACCTCCCCCAAAACAGGGATCTCCTCATTCCTCTCCGATGAGAGCAAACACCCTTCTTCTAGAACCAGGTCCTTACAGGTGTAACAACTGTTTAAAGGGAAAGGAGAAAAACAGAGGAAAAAGGCAGAGCTGGGACTCGAGCGTGTCTAGTAAATCTTGCCATAGGTGTCAGTGTAAAAGCAAGGGACAGGAGACTCAGCCTGTATCCTTAGCAAATAAATATGTGCACTTCAGCTCTCAACAGAACCTGGCTGCACAACTGTTAAATTTCAGTTTGCTGCGGTTTTTTTTCTCCTTGTATCCCATCTAAAGAAGGAATTCAAATTTAAAGGCAATTAACCACACATATATGCAGAAAGTTTTGCTGTCTTAAAGTCAGAACACGAAGAAAACTGGAAACGACTGCAGATAAAAAGTAAAACTGGCATTCTAACTGGAGCACAACGGTTCTGGCCTTCATTTGGAGACTAACACTGCTGTGTATGGGTTTAATACACTGGAAGCCACGTGAAGAAGTAACTAAGAAATGATTTCGTGGCTGTTCTCAACAGAAGCTTTTAGCAGCACAGAAACAGAGGGACCTTCCTTCCCTCACACACTAAAATCCTGCTTTACATTAACATAACACTGCATAATCTCAATTCCACTTGTTAGTGCCAAAAATGATGCACATCTCTTACGAACGGCCAAACTCACAAGCAAAACATTTAAACCACATAGTGTTTAGTTCTATATTTATTGCAGATATTAAAAGATTAACAATGCTAACAGTTTTACTTACACTGAAAGGAAACGTCAGTTACCCAATAACATAAGCATCTAGTGTTACTAGCTAAATGCTACTGCCAATTTGCATGGAACAGAAACTAGCAAATTGCTCTGCAAGATTAATGGCAAAACAAACAAGCAAAAAACAAAAAACAAAACAAAAAAAACAACAGAAAAAACCCAACCAAAAGACAGTAGACACACCACTGCAGTTAGTTAAAATGTTCACTGAAGCTTGCAGTCTTCATGGAAGAGAGCCTGGAACTAAAATAACAGAAAAGAAGCTAGTAAACTTTCAACAAGGCAATGTATCTGCATAACAAATGTTGCATATGTACATATTTAAATTTTCAAATCAGAGCTGCCTGCAAAAGCAGGTCAAAATAAAAGGAAATTCCTTTTGCAAAAGGAGCATAAGGTCATCTCTTGGTAACACAAGATAAAAGTGGCAAATAGTAACTCACGTGAGAGCAACACTGGAATCTCAGCACCAATACTGCTCTGTTGATGTCTTGTCCAAAATTAAAGTTTGGCACAAGAAAGACAGACCATACTGTAACTACAGCCATCCAGAGTAGCGGGTTAAGATTTTCACTTTTAGTTTCAAGACAGCACTGCACTCTAAATTGAACTGCAATCAGAAAGGAAGGTACCCTTTTCCAATCTGGATACCAAGAGTTTTCCCAGATTGGGCAAGCAGGCGTTTAGCAAAGGCACCCAAATGGGACTGCGGCCAAACTCGGGTTAAGTCAGAGCAGCGCAGAATGCTGATCTAGGCTGAGAGGCTGGATTCCAATCCAGCGTGAAACGACACTGCCTTGTGCCTTTCTGCAAGTAGTGCAACACATAATAAGAACGCTACCAAAACGCAAATGTTAAAGAGGAGGTTAACTGGAAGTTTGCAAGGAAATAAAAAAGCTGTGAACAGAAAAACTGGCAGCTTCATCAAGGGAACTAAAGGAAAAACTGATCCCTTTTGAGAAATAACTCAGAAGCCAACAACATCAGTTCCAGACTGTCACTGTAAAACACAGTGACTGATAGTTAGCCATAGGCTCACGTTTCAGATTACATAACTGCTAACCAGGCACAGAAGAGAGGCAGTGAAGAATACACCCAGCTGGGAACTTAACAGGCACCACCAAACACCATGACTGATGTCCTTTAAAGTAGGTACAAAACATTTATGGATTTAAAGCATCTCCAAGTAAAGTAAAGCCTATAGAAATCTCCAGACCATCAAATGTCTTTAATCAAATGTGATAACCAGATAAACTTATGTGTATTTATGGTCTTCATGCTTCAGCTCCTTGTTAACGTAAAGGTGAAGACATGTGATGTCCATGGAAAAACAGAACTAGCAGCGTGGTATTTTTCTGCACCTGCCATTATGGTTTTATGTAGTGATCAGCGTGCTTCAAAGCAACTAAAACAGTGATCAGAAAATTACACCAAAACATGACGCTGTTTCT